CCAGGGTTGGGCTCGGGCAGCCGCTGCAGTGTCCCAGGCACTTGGGGAGCAGGCCCGGCCTCCCCTGCACAGGCCGCAGTCACGCCGAATGGCTGTGTCGGCACTAAGAAGTATTGGGGAACAACAGAAAGAGGCTTTTAACTACAAGTCCTGCTTGCTTGGTAAGTTTTCCTGTCTTCTTAAAAGGGGTGGTACCTATATTTTTGACAGTTAAAAATAATCCTCTCCCCAGAAGTGAATTAAATAAAATGAAATTGATATTTTCCCTGAAATACAGGACAAACATGCCAGAAATCACAAAGAATCTTTGCAAGTTCAAGTTCTTGAAAATAGGGAGACAAATGCCAGTGATTTCACTCTGGGCCAGGAGAGCCCAGTGGCTGCCCGCTCAGACACCGAAAATGGCCAGTTCCAGATCAGCCAGGATATGTGATTGTTCCGCAGCTGTTTTTTGAGCATTTGCTGGCTGTAGAGCATGGGGAGCAGAAAGGAGACAAAGATGCGGTTCTGAAGCGCAGGGGGTCCACAGTCTGACAGACGAGACTGACACACAGAGAATCACACTGCAGTGAGTGCGACATACGGGTGACACACGGGGCCCGCGGAAGCCAGTCTGTTGAGAGGACTGGAGCACACACACGAGGCATTCTGGGGAGAGTGCTGGCTTCCGTGTCTCACATCCAAGAGTGTGGTCTGGGCCCCAAAATGTTGTAGTACCAGGGAGGTTTTGATGGTTTATGTAGATGATGGGAGAGCATGTTGCAGACAAAGTCCTGCCGTGGCAAATAAGCCATATATGGTTATCAGATATCTCCGTAACCTCTCAAGCTTTGCTTATCAGCCCTGGAGGAGGTGAAATCTTTTTGCGGGGTTTGAATGTCCCACAGATTCTGGGATATTAAACCCCTCTTGTTCATCTTTGTACCCCAGACCCGATACTAGTAGGGACTCCGGAGATATTTGTTAAACCAGAGAGCTGGATCTTGGTGCATGAGGCCTGGGGGGGATAGGGCCAGAGCCTGCGTAGGCAGGAAGCCTTCGGCGGACAAGCCGACCTCACACAGGCCTGGTCCTTCCCCTCTCGGCCTCCCCACCGCACTTTTTGAGCCTGTAGAACCATGGAAAGAGAGTACAGAAATCCCTGCCTCAGTGATTATTAGTCATTTCCTGTATGCTTCCTTTTGAAAACTAGGGTCTTATACCAGGAAGGATTTTAAGACGGGTGAGCATCTACTAGGTCCTAGGCGTGTCTACAAATAGCTCACCCATTTTGCCTCAAATGACTTGTCTTCACTTTACCACAGAGCCAGTATGCCCAGCCAAGAATAGGGCATGTCCATCCTATGGCTTCCGGGAGGGTTCCAGGGTGGCCCCAGCAGCTGCTCCTCCGCTGAGTCTCTGGCGGCCCGGGGTGATGGCTTGCATGTAACCCTCAGGTACTTCACACATGCAACAGCCAGATTTTTCCATTCCTGCGGGGCGTCATCTTTGGAAACCCCTTCTTGTGGTATTTCCAAGGAGTTTAAGGGCCTAACAGAGGACTAAGACCCTGAGAAGCCACCCCTGCACACTTCTCTAGGCAGGTCATGTTGTTTGCAGTCATGTGTGGGTCTGTGTGTGTATGTGTCTCTGTGCTTCCTATTTGTTCTCCTGGCAGAGGGGGACTAGGGTTTATAATATAAGGTAAAGGCCCTGTTTATGACCCTTAATTGGTTATGAATATTTTATTCCTATTAGGCAAGTCTCCTAGCCTTCTCTTCCTCAATTTACACAATCCCGTTCCCTTATTTAGTAAAACAGATGTAGGGCTTGCAATTCCATAAGATTCAAAATAAACCATGTGGCAGGAGCATCCTTATTAAACTTTATTATATCCAAGGGTTGCTAAAATGCATGTGAACCTAGTATGTTGAAAACCAACATCCCTGATCTGTGGGTGCCTTAGGAAAAAAGAAGTGCGAAAGGAATGGATGATTTGGTACAGCGGAATCAGTAGGAGGTAAAATACCCCTCAACCTGAGAGTTTCCTGTTACACAGGCCTCCGGACAGGAAGTCTCCCGCCCTGAGCCTTTCTAGCAACACAGGGTAGCAACACAGTGTAGACTGGGGACTAGCATTCTCGGTACTGCCCGCGAGCATGTTAGAAACCCAACACCTCAGACCCCACCCCAGACCTGCCACCTGGACTCTGCATTTTAACAAGATCTCCCAGGGATTCTTAGGCACATTCAGATCCGAGAAGTACTAGATCAGAAAGTGTGAATTCTGCATTTTCTGTCTCAGTGAGCAAACCCCCGGGGGCTAGAGTCATTTATTCTATGCCTAGAATAGACTCATCTGCCCATAGTATATCCTGGGGGGGGGGGAAAGCAGGATTCTGTTTTTAGCAGTGGCATTTTCTACTTATGACCTGACCTTCACTTTCCCAAAATGATTTGAGTTGGTTTCCAAAATACGTCCAGTAGGGTGAAATAAATGAGGAGAACTGTATTATAAAACTGGGTTACAATTGCATACATAAATGTTTGCCACAAAGTCCTAAGCAGTTGCTAGGTGTACTAACCATTTAGCCCTGAGCTCCATAGTGATAAAAACAAAAAAGAAAATACAATTATTAGCAGGTCTGTGTCCAGTACAGCTTTTCTCAGCAAGGTCTGATGGGAATTTCTTCAGTGGGTCACCGTTAAGTGGCTGGTACCATCCACACTTAGGTAACGAGTACAATAGTGCATTTCACGAGATTTTTTTTCTTACAATATCCCTTCAAGGCAAAGAGCTGTTTTATAAAAGTACCTCTATCAGGAGAGAGCTTTTCTGGCTCTTGCTGCTTCGTCATATGCTAACTTGGCGTTTAAACCTGCTGTGTAACTAACCAGCCTTCCCCTCACCATAATCCCCACCCTCCACTCCCTTCCCTGGTCTGCTACTGGCTTGTTTCTGTTTGGACCTCCTTTATGAAACACAGAGCAACCGGGGAATAAGCAAAGGTGACATCGGGGTGGCTGGGCCCTTGTCATACGGCCTGTGGCAGTGGCAGGCCCCACAGCTGAGGCTTTGAATGGCCAATGAAAGACAAGTATCCCCCTTGTCCTTAACCTGCCCTGCTCCCCAGTTTATGCCAGTGATACTAAAGGGATATGGGAAATCAGGTGGCAAAACCATGTTTTTTGTTAAGTATCTCGAAGGTAATTAGGTAATTTTTCTTGTTTTGCTTTGTTTAAGCTAGGTGTGTAGTGTTTCTCAGACTTTCCGATCATCTTGAGCTTGGATCTTCCCTGTGTATTTTACTTAGTATCTGTCAGAAGTGTGATACTCCACACACACGATCTCCAAGAATATGATCGTTTTCCTGCCAAATAATAGAGAAAAGCTGTCTTTAAAAAAATGTCAAGCAAGTTTAAACATTCTCAGAGAATGATCTCTCCATGTGTCTGGCAGACCCAGAGACACGGAACAGAATGAAAAGCAGAGCCTCTGTGGGTCCCCTCTTCTCTTTTCTGGCTGCTTTGGATCGTACCGTCCTTCTCAGGATTTCCACGGAGCGGCCTTGTCCTCAGCCATCCCCACATCACTCAGGGCACCCAGAACTAAGGTGTTACCTTAGTGGGGCACCACTATGGGTTCCAGGGGCCATGAGCTGTGAGCCTTCTCTCTGATAGCTGCCTTCTGGACCTTACAGGAGATCCTTTTCGCCCGGCCAGGGGGTGAGGTGGTAAAACAGCTTCCCACTAGGCTAGCGTGAGTGATTGCAAGGGTAGTGCTTCTTTTGTCTCTCTGAGCTCTTGGTCCATTGTACCCCCTAAGGATAGTAAAAACTTTGAGGAGAAGAAGCAAAGTCCTTCCTGGAAGACAAATTATAAATTTATGTAACCTCTGTGTAATGCTTTTTTTTTTTAAGTTCCGAATTCTTCTTAGGGGGGAGAAAATGGACATGACCGTACCTTCCTCATAGAGTGGCACCCTGTCACCATCCAGACCCTTCGTCACTGAAATCCTCCTTTACAGATACATTCATTGTGTATTTAGTGATGCTTTTATTCATGCCAAGAGAGGTTCATAATGAATACAGAACAAAGACTTCTTTTTACTAATCTTACACATAAGCATAACACCTGAAAGCAACATTTAAGGGGATCTCTAAATTGTAGTAATAAAAGCTAGCACGTACGGAGCCCTTGTGAGGTGCCAGGCATGTTAACGACACTTTAAATCTGTATCTCATCTAATTTGCAGTGACCCCATAAGGAAAGCATTTTCTTCTCTCACGGGTAAGGCAGTTGAGGCTCAGAAAAGTAACTTACCTGAGGTCACAGAGCAAGTTAGTGTCAGAACTGCTATTCCAGTTTACCTCAGACTCTAAAGCCTGTGGCTGCCTCCCCCGGGATCCCATTTCTTTCCTGTAGGTAAGAGCATTGGACCAGACCCACCGAGAGTAGACTAGAAGCTCAGGATCAGCGTGTCCGCCACCGTTGCAGGCGGAACGAAGCCAGACAGCTGTGGAAATAAGTTAAACTTCACCTCTTCCAAAAATCAGTAGACTAACCTTGCAACCCCGTTAAGTGGCTGCCAGTTTTATCATGAAACAGGGAAAGGACGTGATTTTGTATTTACAAAGCACCCTCCACGACCGCCTCTAAGAAGGGGCATCTGTGCCCGCCAGCTTCAGCAGGGGGTATGGGAATGCAGGCCTGGCCGGAGCGAAACTGCTCTGCGTGTAAAGGCCAGCGGGGGTCAAGGAGCCCCGAGGGAAGCTTGTGCGTGGAGACCTAGAGAGACCACAGTGGGGACAGCCCCTCCACAGGTCAGCCTGCAGGGTGGCACCAAGGGGCTTCAGAAGGACATGCCTATTTCTAATTAATGTCCAGTATGGTCTCTCACTGCTGCTAGCCTGGATTTCCTCGGAAAGGCACGAAGGAAGACCGGGTTCTGGATCAGCACTGGCCAAGGGCAGAGGCTGCCCGCGCGCACCGGTGTTTACCTTCTCGTTTCTGATTTCCAGGCAGCCTCGGAACCCGTCCTGGACCCCCAGCAAATCCAGGCGTTTGATCAGCTTTGCCATCTCTACCGAGGAAGCTCCCGGGTAATGTTTTTGGGGTGGCTTACATTTTTATTTCCCAGTTTATAATTACTGTTTGGAGCCCTGGCCCCAGGGAGCACTCGGGAGTTAGCAGAGGACACGGAGGACGGGGGCAGAGCTCTGTCCCATCTGTGTGTGTACTGCCTTCTGGGGGCCTTTGTTTATACTAATGACGGCCCCGTCTGCGCCGGCCGAGTGCGTTTGGCCGTGAACACAAATGCTGAATGACGGGTACCCAAGACAGACGTGGAAACGCAGGCAGCCAGGGCGCCTGCCCGGAGCCTGTCTCCGGCGTCCTTCTCTCTCCTGCCATCCTTGGCACGGGGCGCACACTCGCCTGGTTTAGCAGGGCTGCTCCGGCGTCCCCGTCACCGCTGTGTGCCGGCTGGCAACGTGGAGGAAAAGGAGAGCGGGAGGAAATAAACTATGTCCTTACAGTTCTAGAAGGTGTAGATCTCATTTTCCATTGTCCAGAACTTAGGCGCACAACTGCACCTGGCTGCAGCGGACACTGGGCAAATGGGTCTTTATTGCCAAGGGCCAGGGGCTGAAATGACTGGGACCCGTCCAGAACCATAGAAGAGGACGGCCCGGGAGACCTGCTAGCAGTCCTGCCCCCGCGTCCGGCTGCACGCTCCCCAGGCACATCCCGAGGGTGCCCAATAACTCCCTCCACCTGTTCTTCCTCACCTGCTGCCTGGGCACCCCAGCTAGTCACCCAGAGCAGAAGCCTGGCAGCACCCCTCCGCTCCCCACAACTCCCCGGGGAGCCCCCGGAGGCATCTTCTCTGTACCTCCTGTGGATTTCTCCCCTTTCCCTCCCAACGGTCACTCGCAGAGGCCACTGCAGGTCTTCTGTCCCTGCTGCCTGGGGAATCGCTCCAAACCCCAGTGTCTGGTCACCACCTTGTTAAAAGTCTTTCCTGCATCTCATCCCCGGAAGGTGGAGTCCAAACTACCACCTTCTCCACGTCCCAAGTCCTACCTAGACTCCAGCAGGGCCCGATTTGTTCTTGGTGCTCAGCTTGAGCTCGCACACACCGTGTGTGGCTCTGCTTCTGTGCCTGGACTCCCTGCCCGCCTCCCTGCTCTTGTGCAAATACCTGCTGGGGGCCAGGGGCGGGGGGGTGGCAGCCCCGAGGAAAAGTGGTGTTCCCTCTTGGAGAGTTGGTTTTTATTCCAGGAAGCTTCCCCAGGGGTCTCTGGAATGGGGCCCAGTGGCTTTACTGAGCTCTCAGCCTCAGCCAGGCTCTGCCCCACGAGTTGGCTTTCTGAGCCTCCTAAGGAAGCTCTGCTTCAAACTGTGGAGCCATTATTCAGGATTCCTTGATTTCCAGATCACAAAGTTACAGAAGTAGAACACAGACAGATCTTCTCTTAGGAAATAGAAAATATTTTTTCAGTTGATCTTTCTAAACCTCACAGGGTCTGAATGACTTTGAGAACTTTGAGTTTATGTAACATCTGTTGCCTGTTCTGTTCCTAGTCTTGTACAGAATTGTTCTTAGGGAGAACTTCACAGGCTGATGGGCAGCCGAGAGGGTTAGTGAGGATGAGAAGTGGCAAAGATGGGGCTCAGTGGACCAAGGGACATCTGTCTCCCGGGCAGGACAATGTGAGTGCATGCGCCTGCTGTGCGTCCCTCACCAGCTGAGTAACTCGCAGGTGGGGCTCCTGAGCCAGTGTCGTCAGCTGGGCCCTAGAGGGTCGCTGGGGCCGGAGTGCTTTAGATAAATGGGCACTTTGAACTGAGAGGCCCGTCTGCTGTCTCTCCAGTTCCCACAGTCCCTGGTAGTGAGTGTTCCACAGAAGTGACAAATGGATACATGTGACCCTTGTGCCGTCACTGCCTGGATGGAGAGAGAACCCCTTAACGGCTAGATCAGCAGAGGACAGAGTTCCTGGCAGGGTGGGTGAGTAGGAACGGGTAACAGACCAGGGAAGGCAGAACCGTAGGTGGCTCGGCTAAGCAGAAATTGCCACGTGGACCTGGCGTTGAGTCCTGCACCACCACTCACCACTGAGTGACTTAGGACACATTAACTCTGAGGACTCTGGGTGTTGTACACAGAGGGTTCTTGTGGAAGGTTAGAAACCATACACACATAGAGGACGTAGCACAGCGCACTCGTCGCAGTGACCTTGCACTAGTAGAAGTTCCTGCAGACGTGGGGTCCGGAGCCTGACCCAGGCATGACAGCCCTGCCGTGTCTCACGGCTCCCTCCTCACAGCTGAAGTCGGGGCCGGACAGGTTACACAAGAGACGTCAGAGCCAGGGATCGTAATCCAGGGTCATTGCCCCGGGATCCAGAGCCAGTTTTATTCTTCCCTGCGGTGTAGCCCCGTCCCTTGTGTATCTGAGGCAGGGGAACTGAGGCTCCTCCGCCTCTGATCCGCACACCTTGGCTGATGGGTGTCCCTTCTTTTGCAGCTGGCTCTTCTCACAGAGCTCTCCCAGAATCGCAGCAGTGAGAGCTACAGGCCATTCAGTGGCTCCCAGAGTGGCCCTGCTTTCAACAGCATCTTCCAGAATGAGAATTTCCAGCTGCAGCTCATTCCCCCACCTGTGACTGAGGACTGAGGCCTCTTGGGGGGCCTGGCACTGGAGGCCAGACACGATCCTGATGCAGCCAGGGAGGGACCCCTCTCTAACTGGCTTGGCCCCTCTGCCTGCCCCCTTCTGAGCCAAGGTTGGGTGCCCATGCCTGGGCCTTTTTCCACACCCATCATCCCCCGGGGAGACTCCCTATCTCTCCCAGGATGTTGCAGCAGCATCAGTTCACCAACCAGTTGATTTTGTTTGCTTGTTCAGCAAAGGAATGTCTCATACTTCCATCCAGCTTTTTAAGAACATATGCTTTGCCCTTTGGGACTTTTTCCAATTTCCCTGAAGCTTCGAGAATAGATGGGACTCGGGCAGATGGCATTCAGGAGTCTGTCCTGCTTGGTCCCCTCCAGCTGCTGGGTAACATGGAGGAACTCGAGCTCTTGCTGCCGTCGGGAAGATGGAACAGTGCTGGGCCAGGCAGGAGGAGAACTGAAAGCAAACACCTGGGGGCAGGGCATCGCCCTTTTGATGCGTTTATGTGAAAACCCATTTGAGTGTAAGCTTTGCCCTAACAAACAATAAATGCCTCTGTGTTTAAGTTCTGGGGGCCTGCTGGCCAGCTCTCGGTCTGTCCAGTCACGGGGGACATGTAGAGCCCTTATTGCCACAATTCAGTTTTCTTTTGTTTAAGATTTTTTTTTTTTTAATTTATTTATTTGACACAGAGAGCAGGAACACAAGCAGGGGGAGTGGGAGAGGGAGAAGCAGGCTTCCCGCTGAGCAGGGAGCCCGATGCGGGGCTCGATCCCAGGACCCCGGGATCATGACCTGAACTGAAGGCAGATGGCCAATGATTGAGCCACCCAGGCGCCCCCACAATTCAGTTTCATTAGTTCAAATTCAACCCTCTTTTACAGAAAAAAAGAAGCTGAGACTCTCATGATGAATAATTTAACCAAGGCAGCACACACCTGAAATGGCAGGGGGGCTCGGTCAGTTAAGTGTCCGACTCTTGACTTCTGCTCAGGTCGTGATCTCAGGGTTGTGAGATCGAGCCCCACATGGGGCGCCATGCTGAGCATGGAATCTGTTTAAGATTCTCTTTCTCCCTCCCTCTGCCCCTTCCCCCGCCGCCGCCGGCTCTTAGTGCTCGCTCTCTCCCTCAAAAAAGAAAAACAGCAGAACAAAGTTGAGTGCAAGATGGCAGTGTAACAAGATCCTGAACCCGTCTCCTCCCAGGGGCACAACAATCAACAACTACATACGGAATAATTCCCTCTGAAAGGGAACTGAGAGTGGAACAACAGAGCCTCCACAACAAAGCCTGAAAGGACAACATCAAGCTGGGACAGAGGCAAAGACATGGACTTGCCGGGGGAAAACATCAGCCATGGGGAAGCACAAGTGTGTACAGAACTCTTCCCTGAGGAGTGAGGGATTTGAGCTGCACATCAAATACACCCCAAACCTTAGATCGTCCACAGGAGATCAGGAGAGATGAGCCCCCAAAACACCAGGTTTTGAAAATCAATGGGGATTATGTCCAGAAAAACTATTAAACTGTAAAGAATGGAAAACCCACTCTTAAAGAGCTAAGGCAGAGACTGTACCCAGAAACCAGTGCAAAAACACCCAATTTAAAAAGCACATAGACTAAGTAAAGGAGACCCATTTATTAACCTTAAAGCATCTGCCAAAGAGACAGGAAACAGCAGATTCCCCCTAGGGGCTGAGATACTGGTGGGCCATTTTGGAATTCTCTATCTAATCTGCTAGCCCCGGAGAAGTTACACCCCGCCGACAGCCCCACCCAAACGCACTGCAGTAGGCCTTACACCCCGCAGTCGGGCCAGGGGCCAGCCCGCCCCCCAGAGTACCATGGCCATAGCCCAGCACAATAGGAGGGAGCACACAGCTCGCATAGGGGACCAAAGGAGATTGTCCTTCTGCATCCCACAGGACACCTACAAAAGACCACTTCAGTATTGAGAGAGGTCACTGACTTACCTAATGCTCAGAACCGTGGGGAGGTAGGCAAAATCGGGGGACAGGAGAACAGCTCCAAACAAAAGCACGAGGCCTCAGGAGAAGGACTAAATGAAACAGAGATTTGCAAACTACCTGATAAAATGGTCATAAGGATGCTCACCAAACTCGGGAGAAAAATGGATGCGCACAGAACTCCAACAAGGAGAATATATAAGAAAGTACCAAACAGAAGTTATAACTGAACTAAAAAAATACACTAGAGGGGTTCCACAAGAGACTGAAGTAGAAGAACAGATCAATGAGCCGGATGAGGAGGAGCAATGGAACTCACCCAGACAAAGCAGCAAAATGAAGAAAATTTTTTAAAAAGTGAAAATACCTTAAGGGACCTTTGGGTCTTATCGAGCAGAATAGCATTCACATTACATAGATCCCAGAGAAAGAAAAAAAGGGCCAAAAAGTTTATTTGAAGAAATACTGGCTGAAAACTTCTCTAATCTGGGAAAGGAATCAGACATCCAGGTCCAGGATCAACCAAAGAAAACCACACCCACACACATTATAATTAAAATGGTAGAAACGGGGCGCCCGGGTGGCTCAGTCATTAAGCGTCTACCTTTGGCTCAGGTCATGGCTCCGGGGTCCTGGGATGGAGCCCCGCATGGGGGTCCCTGCTCAGTGAGTCTGCTTCTCCCTCTGCCTTTGCTCCTCCACTCCCCCCCCCCCGGCTTATGTTCTCTCTCTTTCAAATAAATGAATAAAATCTTTTAAAAAAATGGTAGAAATTAGAGAATCAGGAGCAGCAGGAGGAAAAACAACTTGTTATATATAAGGAAAACCCCATAAAGCTATCAGATTTTTCAGCAGAAACTTTACTGACCAGGAGAAAATGGCATGACATATTCGACGTTCAGAAAGGAAAAAACTTCCAACCAAGAATTCTCTGCCCAGCAAGATGCCCATTCAGAATTTAAGGAGAGATTAACAGATTGAGAGATTTTTGCTTTCCAGATAAGCAAAAGCTAAAGGAGTTCATCACCACTAAACCAGCCCTACAGTTAGTATTTTAAAGGGATTTATTTTAAGCTGAAAAGAAACGGCACTAATAAGGAAGCATATTAAAGCAAAAATCTCACTGGAAAGCAGTCCCTGGCTAGCTCAGTCAGAATAGTGTGTAACTCTTGATCTTGCGGTTGTGAGCTCAAGCCCCACATTGGGTGTAGAGAGAAAATATTTTTTAAAAATTCCACTGGAAAAATATAACAAACCTAGTGGATCAATCACAAGGCAAGCATGAAGGTTAAAAGACAAAAGTAGTAAAATTAAGGAAGGTGGTCCAAGATGGCAGCAGAGAACGACCCTAAACTCACCTCCCCCCACTGACACACTTTATATACACCTATGTAGAGAGCAATTCCTTCAAAAAAAACAGGGCTGATTGAACAGCCCAACAAACAGTAGAGGGACCACATAGAGAAGACTAGGAGAGATGGAGACATGGTAACCATGGGAACACACCCCCCAGTGTGATAGGGAAGGAGGTCACTGAGGGTCCCAGTCCAGACTCCCCTACCCTGAGGCACAGTAAAAACAACAGTGGCTTAAAGACTAAATGGATTATAAGCGAAGCGAATCCATTTACTAACCTTAGGGCAGCCACCAAACTGGCAGGGAACTGCTGGAACTCTCCAGGGTAAGAGGCGTGGTCCGTGCCATTTTTTGCACTCGTCCTCCACCTCAATAGCATAGGCAGGAACAGGGTCCAGGCGCTCACACCAGCCTGTTAGGACTGCCCCACTGCACCCTGGACCCCTGGCCTACACCAGCTCCAGCCATCCCCTTCAAGATAGCTCTGGTGCAGTGCACTCTGAGACTACCCCCTCCACTCCCAGCATGCACCCAACCCAGCCATCCCACCAATACAGCCCCAGTGCAGCACACCCAGGGATTCCCTCCCAGCCCATGCCCACTGTCCTGCAACGGCCCCAGGGCTCCTCTGGTCTTTGCACATTCCAGCCATCTCACCAGGGTGGCCCTGGCATGGTGTACCCCAGGACCCCCAGCCTGCTCCAGCTCCAGCCAGCCTGCCAGGTCAGCTCTGGCATTGTGCACCCAGGGACTGCCCCCAGGGTGGCCCTGACAAGGCACACCCTAGCTCCCCCAGCCCATGCCCACTCCAAATCCAGCTGTCCCATCAAGGTGGCCCTAGCGTGGTGCACCCAAGGATGCCCTGGCATGTGCTCACTCCAGCTACAACTACTGTGCCAAGGCAGCCCTGACATGGAGTGAGTGCCCTGAGATACCCCTCCACCCCAGCCCACACCCGCTTAGCTCCCGCCAGCCTGCCAAAGCTTCCAGTCACAGTCTCCACAGGAAATGCTCCTACACGAGGCCACTCCTTCCAGACCAGGACAGGTAGCCGTTCCACCTAATTTATAGAAGCAAACATAGAAAATCAAAATAAAATGAGACAGAGAAATATGTTTCAAACAAAAGAACAAGATAAAAACCCCAGGAAAAGAATTACAATGAAATAGAGGTAATTCATCTGACAAAGAGTTCAAAGTAATGGTCATAAAAATGCTCATTGAAATTGGGAGAAGAATGGAGGAACACAGGGAAAACTACAACAAAGAGAAATATAAGAACCAATCAGAGCTGATGATTACAATAATTCAAATGAAAAATACACTAGAGGGAGTGAACGGCAGATAAGATGATGCAGAAGAATGGATCAGCAATCAAAGAGAGAACAGGGGAAATCACCAGAACAGGGAAAAGACACAAGAATTTTGTAAAAGTGAGGATATTTGAGGGGTCTCTAGGAAAACACCAAGTATAATAAAATTTACATTACAGAGGTCCCAGAAAGAGCAGAGAGAGAGAAGGGGGCAGAAAACTTACTTGAAGAAATAATGGCTGAAAAACTTCCCTAACCTGGGAAAAGAAGAAGACATTCAGGTCCAGGAAGCACAGAGTTCCAAATAAGATGAACCCAAAGAAAGCCACATGAAGACATTTATAATTAAAATGGTAAATGTTAAAGAGAGAATCTTAAAAGCAGCAAGAAAAAAACCAAATAATCCTATACAAGGAAAACCCCATAAGACTATCAGCTGATTTGCCAGCAGAAAATTTGTGGCCAGAAGGCACTGGCAGGATATATTTAAAGCACTGAAAGTATTCAACCAAGAATACTCTACCTGACAAGATTATCATCTAGAATTGAAGGTTCCCAAATAGGTAAAAACCAAAGGAGTTCATCACTTAACCAACCTTACAAGAAATGTTACAGGGTCTTCTTTAAGTGGGACAGAAAAACTATAACCAGAAATAGTGAAACAAATGAAAGAAAAAATACCACTTGTGAAGGCAAATACATAATAAAGGCAGTGGATCAGCCACTTACAAAGCTAATATGAAGATTAAAAGGCAAAAATAAAAAAATCAACAGTATAAGAAGTTGTTAAGGGATACACAAAATAAAAGATGTAAAATAGAATATCAAAAACAAAACTAGGGAGGGGGAGTAAAAATGTAGTGCTATTAGAATGTGTTCAAACATAAGCAACTATCTGCCTAAAATAGATGTTCTGTGTTTGTTTGTTCCAATAT